TTTTTTTTTTTTGTTACCTAACATTCATTCCCTGAGCATCATCACAGCGTACTAAATGTAATTTCCCATCTAGAATAGTCTGCATAGTGACTTAATCAAGCATGTTATCATCAATAGTATTCCATTTCTACTTTCATGCTTATGTATATATATATGTTTTTTTTTCTCTTCCTCTTTTTTTTTTTCCCTATGTTTTTCCCTCTGCCCTTTCCCACTTTCCCATTACACTATCTCTGCTATATACAGTTGTCTTCCAGAAGAGTTATTGAAAAAGTGATACATACAAGTAAAGGGAGAGAGGCCACGAGTTCCAATTATCAGCTCATAAAGTTTTTGACAATAGGGAGCATAGATTCTATTCAGGGTTGGATTAAGGGAGGGTCTCCTGCAGATCCACAAGTGTAGGTGAGTCTCCAGGGAATGCAGTTTCTGGAAAGCAGTTCTGGTACGCAGGGATGATTATCAGCTGATGCGGCACAGCAGTCATCTTGTAGTTACCAGGAATGGGGTTGAGGGGATGGCCGGCCGTTTGGCACGCGGCTGCCCGGGGTGTAAGCCCCCAAAAAAATTCTTTTAAGATATGTTTTTTAAATTATTTTTTAAAGATTATTTTATTTAACTATATTCATTTTTATTTATTTTAATTTGATGAGAAGAGGACAGAGAGAAAGAGAAAGAGAGAGAAAGAGAAAGAGAAAGAAAGCCACCAGGTCCAGGACACGAACCACAGTCAGCCATGTGGGAGTCTGGTACCCCTAATGACCACACCACCTACTGGCCCCCAAAAAAGATGTGTTTCTTTGAGACATCTCCTGAATGGTCCAGACATGTAACAAGGTCTTTCCACCTGACTCGCCAGAGCGCAAGCGTGTCTCAGCCTTGCGAGAGTCATGAAGCGCTTTGTCATCTTGTTCCTGGAAGTCGTCCCTGCCGGCCCAGTGGCGTTTACCGCATGCGAGCGTGCCTCCTATTCAGCCTTGTGCAGGTCGTGGGAGCTCCTGTCCTCCAGTGTCCCTTCTGTGAATTCTGTCACCCCTGCCCGAGTTGTTTCTCAATTCAGCAAAACTGTGGTCATCTGCTCGGATTTGCCCTTTCTCTGCCGTTGTTCAGAAATTGCCTCCAGACACACAGGCAGGACCTGGGCTTTGTTTCCTCCGTTTTCTTTTCCTCTGGGATTGCTTCTCTGCTGCCTGCCGCCCAGTGCCTTACAATGGCTATTCCGTACATTTCGGTCCCCTTTCATAGCAGCTTACAGTGGGAGGGTGAGTAAGACTTGTCCTGCCGTCGGCCTGGTGTGGAATCCCGGTCCGTATTTCCGACGGAGAGCGGTCGCCCCGCCACGAGGCTGGAGTTGGAAATGGTACAGTGAGCAGAGACTCGTCCCAAGTCAGGGCTCACGAAAAGCCTATTTGGCTTTTAACTTTTCCTCTGTTAGAGACCTGTTTCAAGGACAGTTCACTCGAACCTGCTCCGTCTTTATCCTTTGTAAACAGGCAGCATAGCCAACCAGGTGTTCCACCCGGTGATGTTTGACAAGTGCATTCAGATACTGAAGAAGAGCTGGCCTCAGGAATGGACCCTCAGTCGGAAAAGAAAGAAGGACCAACCTTTGAGCTCTCAGGGTAACCCACGGGGGACTAGGAAAAGAGGAAGGCCGCCCAGGAAAGAGGACGTTGAGGTAAGCAGTTAGGAGGTGTTAGCATGCACCTCGGGCCGCCCCGGGGCCAGGTGGGTAAGGGAGCTGGGTCCCACACGGCCGGCTGTAGTTGGAGTCCCATCTCTGGTGGCTTAACAAGCATGCTGGGCATGTGCGCCCGCATGCCCCAAATCCCTCTGGGATGGGGAAATGGAGACGGGGCTGAGGCATGACCGCGCCCCGTGAGGTGCTTCCTCCTCTCCCCACCCCTCTGTGTGTCTCTGGAGAGTGCATCGACCCTCTGGCCGTTATTTAAAAGTCAGGGAATAAAAACACCTGTACCAGCATGTGGTTTGGTGTTCTTTAGGGACTGTTGTACACGGGTTGGGGCCTCCTGGTTGTCACTGAAGTCCTGGGCTCCCGTCAGCCCTCCAGCCAAGGGCGCCCCTGGGGTGTGGCGTCTGTGGAGGGCTCACGTCCATTCGCTCTCTGCAGCCTCCCCGCTGCCTCCATCGCCCTCCCCGGATGTGCAGCCACAGCTGGCTGGTGTGCCCGCCCGTTGTCTCATTGCCCAGACAGGGCGGTCAAGGTGTCCTGCAGGGCTCGTGTGAGAGCGTGCACTGGAGTAGTGGTGGTTCCAAGCTCTCAGGTGACGAGACGGGACGGTAGTGCCTCATTGTTGGCACAACCTCCGTCCAGGCCCCAACGGTGCCCCGCCGTGCTGAGATGTAAGGCGCAGCGCTCGGGAGGCAGGCCCACTTGAGAAGATGCTGGCCTGTGGAGACCTGCCTGAGAACGCCAAGCACACCTGTGGGGATGGTCGGGCCTGGGGGGATTGTGGTGTCAAGACCCAGTGGGGGTGCTGTACCTCTGTGTCACTTCCTCCTATTCTCATGCAGTAAATTGAATGCGCGGGCGTGTGCATGTGCACACACACACACACACACACACAGTAAAGAAAGTTCTGTAGAGACATAGGAATCTCCTTCACAGAGAGACCCAGAGCTAGGACAGGTGGCGTGGTAGTTAAGGCACTAGACTCCCACATGACCAACCATAGTTCAAGTCTCAGACCTGGTGGCTTGCTTTCTCATTGTCCCTTTCTGTCTGTCTCTGGTGAAGTAAAAAAATAATAATAAATTTAAAAAAAAGAAAATAAGACCCGGAACTGGAAATAATGGTAGCAGTCTCTAGGCCAGTGGTGTACCATCGTGTCCATGGAGCCCTGGGACAGACAGAGCCCTCAGTCAGGGTCACATGGCCTCAGCAACTCGGCTGCCACCTCGAAGTAACTGCCTCGATTTGGGTATGTTGAAACCAGGGGGAAGTGTTGGCTTTCACACACGTTAACCTAAACGTTCCTTCACAATCCAGATGGATGAGATTGTAGAAGATGAAGAGAACATCTGTTTTTCTACCCTGGACCTTTCTCAAATTCGAAATGCCGTCTTTCACCTTTTGAAGAATTTTTTAAGGCTTCTTCCCAAGTTTTCCCTGAAAGAAAAGCCGCAGTGTGTACAGAATTGTATAGAGGTAAGGGAGGCTCCAGGCGCTCAGCGTCAGAGGCCACGGGCAGTCTTTAAAGAGGGAGACGAGACTGAAGTGCTCTTGGTGTCTTTTCTAGGTCTTTGTTGCCTTAACTAGCTTCGAGCCAGTACTTCATGAATTCCATGTTACCCAAGCCAGGTGAGCCGTTCAATCTTGCAGTGCTAGAATTTAAATACAGTATATTGGGACCAGCAGTTAGCATAATGGCTGTGTCGCTGGACGCCCACGTAGTCAACCGCGGTTCGCGTCCCAGACCTGATGGCTTAAAACTCAAGCCGGGTGCATGTGCGTGCGTGCCCAAGATCCCAAGAGGAGAATGGAGGAGAAGAGATTGTGGCATGGCCATCCCCCCTGGGGCGGTGATTTCTCGCTTTCTGTCTCTCTGTCTCTTTTCTGTCTGTCTGGCGAGTGCACACACCCTATAGCAAAAACCTCTCAAAAAAAAAATTTAAATACAGTATAATAAGTTCTGTTTCTGTGGACGTATAAATGTCCTTTTATCCTAATTGACAGACATTCGAATTTGTTCTCTTAAACTTGGCTTATAGAACTGAGGGATATTTCAGAGAAAACCGCGCTTGTCAACCTGTGTCCTGCCCTTTTTTCTTTAGAAACCTTGACCACGTGAAGTCCATACCAGAGCTGGCTTATCACGGGTTATATCTGCTGTGCTCCCCGCTTCATGGAGAAGGATCCAAGGTAAGGGTGACGGGATCTGGTTCAGTTCCCAGCTGAGTTGCAAGCAGGGCCACCCACAGGAGAGGCGGGTAGAGAGTCTGGTGGAAAGCCCCAAGAGCGTCTGATGTGAGGCCGCGTCATTTTCAGGACTTAGCCCGCGTGGGAGCAGAAGCAGCCCTGTGTTAGCCCTTCACCCTTCACGACCCAGTTCACGTCCAGGTTCCCAGTGACTGCAGCACATTGTTAGGTTTCAGACAGAAAAACGGCTGCAGCATGAACGGAGCAGGAGGGGCGGGCAAGCTGCTGAGCAGAGGGACTTTGGCAGAAATAGTCACAGAAATCGCCCTGAAGAGAATGCAGGGCCTCCGCAGACAGGTTTCCCGTGACGGTTCGCGTGGGCGCCGTATAATGACTTACTACTTTAGCTGATGCTCTGTAGAGTTTTGCAGGTCATCGTTCCTGGCTAGCGTTAGTATCTGCCCTTGGCCCCGGCAGGGTACCTGAACACTGTCCCTCCTGAGGACAGTAGAGCTCCTGTTCTCCACACACTGTGCTGTGAGACCGAGGTGTTTTGGCACAGCGCGTGGTGGGCCACGGTCGTGCTGCTCTCAGTGACTGTGAGGCGGTTAATTTGCAGAGGCGGTGGCAGGGTAGTCGAGGTTTTGGGGATCTGTAAACTGGTCGAACCCCAGCCCCACCACTCTCCAGGGCACTGTGGGTCATGCCTGTCACCCAGCCTCGTGAAAGCCTCAGGTTTTGCATCTGAGCACACAGGGAAAAACAACTTCCTTCCTCGTGGATATGTGATAGGATTAAATGAAATGGACCATGTCAGGTGCTAGGCACAACATCTGTTAGAAAACTCTCAGTTTCAGGGACCAGCAGATGGCATAATGACTATGTCGCTGGACTCCCACGTAGTCGACCATGGTTCAAGTTCCGGACCCGGTGGCTTAAAATTGACGCTGGGTGCATGCGCGTGCGTGCCCAAGATCCTGAGAAGAGAATAGAGGAGAAGGGATTGTGGCGTGGCCATCCCCCCTGGGGGGTGATTTCTCACTTTCTGTCTCTGTCTGGTGAGTGCACATGCCCTATAGCAAAAACTTCTCCAGAAAAAAAGAAAAAAGAAAGAAAAGAAAACACTCAGTGTCTTACCGTTTATTCTGTTTCTATCATTGCTGTGTACTTAAAGTCTGGAAGTGACAGAATTCACAGTAATTCATGTACTTTCCATGCCCCAGCTCTTTCTAAACATTTATTCTTTAAAGCATTGTTTGTTTATTTATTTATAGAGAGATTTTTACTGTAGGGCACATGCACTTGCAAGAGAGAGACAGATAGTGAGAAATCACCCTCTGGGGGGATGTCCGTGTGCAATCTCTTCTCCATTTTCCTCTTTGAATTTTGGGCCTGCACACCTGTGCCCAGTGTGTTTTTTTAAAGAATTATTTTATTTTACTTTATTTATTTTTATTTGACCAGAGAGGGACAGAGCGAGAGAGAGTGAGAGAGAGCGAGAGAAAGAA